TCTACCCAAACCCATGTCCATCGAGTCAGTGATGCCATCCAGGCATCTCATCCTCTGTCGTCCCCTTCTCCTCCTGCCCCCAATCTCTCCAAGCATCAGGGTCTTTTCCAATGAGTCTACTCTTCACATGAGGTGGCCAAAGTACTGGAGTTTCAGCTTCAGCATCAATCCTTCCAATGAACACCCAGGACTGATCTCATTAAATAATACATAAAAATTCTTGCTGACTCATCTGAAGTTAGAATTCAGTTAAAATGCTCCCCAATACTACCTCTATTACCCAAGGGAAGGGGAGAAAAAAACCACCTCAACCTCCAACCCAGACTTGACAAGTAAAAGAACTCCCTAAAAACAATGCATTGAATAAATCACAAGGACTAGTCTCACTTCAAGATTTCAGGAAGGAAAACACAGTTAAACTGAAAACTGTTAACTGGTGTTAAAAACACACACACACACACACACACACACACACACACACACACACAACAAACAGACAGGAAGTGTTTTTTAGGACCATGTCTATCAAAGACCCTTAGGGGCTGATTCACCCTTTAGCATATTCTTTCTAACACCTGCTTTTACTAAAAACCAACAGCTCAACACCAGAGCTTTGTGAGTCAGAAGCAGAGTGAAACTGGACACAGGAGCACTCAGCCGTGGAGCACAACACCCAGAGAGCAAGCAATACGCACACTAAGTATGACTGGCCAGCGCCCTGCGGCTGGGGGGTGGGGGGCGGGGTGGGCCCTGGGGAAGCTGAGCAACATCACCTGAGATTTTCCTCTTGCCTTGTTCCTCTCTCTGGCCCATGCCTCTGCTTCCCCCACTCATCTACTAAATACATCTGGAAAAAAGTACTTGCATAACTCCCCATGTAAACTAATTCTACATTGTTTCAAGTTAAGACCTAAGGACCAATGCATATTTCTTTCTTGTGTGTTTTTAAAGAATATTAAAAGATACCACTTAGAAAACTCAAGAGATAGAGTATCAAGAGAAGAATTAGATATATCTTTTGATTTTAACCTGGTATTAGATATTCTTTTTGAATGCAATTCTACATCAACACGAAGAAAATGTACCTTTAAATTTCAAACAGCATCAACTTAGTTCTTTTCCTTTATCATACTTTTAAAAATAGGACTTGGTCACTACAGCTTACAGAGTCACAAAACATAGTCCACACAAAACCTGTACACAAAAATGGTCACTGCAGCATTATTTGTAATAGCCCCAAAATAGAAATAACCCTAACATCCATCAAATGATGAATGAATAAATAAAATGTGGTACCCCCATACAATGGAATATTATTTGGCAACAAACAGGAATGGAATACTGACATATGCTACAATGTTAATGAATCTTGAAAACATCAAGCTAAGTGCAAGAAGCCAGATGCAAAAGACTACATATTGTATGGTTTTATTCATATGATCCAGGATAGGCAAATCTATAGAGACAGAAAGTAGATTAGTGGTTTTCAGAGGCTGGGGGAAATGGGGAGATTAGGGAGGCAATAATTAGGGGTACAGAGTTTTTTTTAGGGGTAATGAAAAATGTTTTAAGTTGACTTTGGTGATGAATGCACAATTCCATGAACATCCTAAAAACCACTGAATGTACATTTTAAATGGGTGAATTGCACAGTATGAGAAATATATTTCAATAAAGCTGTTTCTTAAAAAGAAGACAGGACACCATAAAGAAGACATCACACCATAAAACTCCTCGAAAAGAACATAGGTAAAACATTGTCTGACACAAATCATACCAATGGTTTCTTGGGTCGGTCTCCCAAGGCAATGGAAATAAGCAAAAATAAACGAATGGATCCTAATCAAACAGCAAAGGAAATAACAGACAAAACAAAAAGATGACCTACGGACTGGAAGAAAATATTTGCAAATGACATGACCAACAACAGCCTAATTTCCAAAATATACAAACAACTCATACAACTCAATAACAAAAAAACCCCAAACAACTCAACTGAAAAGTGGGCAAAAGACCTAAATAGATATTTCTCCAAAGAAAGCATGCTCACTGTCACTAATTATTAGACAAATGTAAATCAAAACTACAATGAGGTACCATCTCACACTGGTCAGAATGGCAATCATTAAAAAAATCTACAAATAACAAATGCTGGAGAAGGTGTAGAGAAAAGGGAACCCTCTGACACTGTTGGTGGGAATGTAAATTAGTGCAAACACTACAGAAGATAGTATGCAGGTTCCTCTAAAAACTAAAAATAGAGTTGTCACATGATCCAGCAATTCCTTTCCTTGGCATATATCCAGACAAAAGTATAATTCAAAAATATACATGCACCCCTATGTTCATATCAGCACTATTCACAATAGCCAAGACACGAAAACAACCTAACTGTCTACCTAACTGTCTTTGGATGGATAAAGAAGATATACCATGTATATACAATGGAGTATTAGTCATAAAGAATAAAATAATGCTGTTTGCAACAACATGGATAAACCTAGAGATTATCACACTAAGTGAAATAAGTCAGAACAAGAAGGACAAATAACATACAGTATCACTTACATGTGAAATCTAAAATATAACACAAATGAACATATCTATGAAACAGAAAGACTCACAGATATAGAGAACAGACTTGTGGATGCCAAGAAGGGGGGGCATGGGTGAGGGAAGGACGGGGAGTTGGGATTAGCAGATGCAAACAATTATTAATATATACAGAATATACAAATAATGAGGTCCTACTATATAGCACAGGAAACTATATTCAATATCCTATGATAAACCATGATGGAAAAGAATATGAAAAATAATACATATATGTATAACTGGATATATATATATATGTATAACCCATTTTGCTGTACAGAGAAGAAACTAACACAGCATTTTAAATCAACTATACTTCAATAAAATTTTTTTAAAAAGAGGACACAGAAAAAGTACTCCACAATCCCAAGTTAGTGACTGTGATTTCTGAGACTGCTGTATAAATCTATCAGTTTGAAACACCTAGAATTAATCTGTCCTCAAGGCTGTCCTGAGTGGCCTGAGGATAAGTGCCCTAAAGCAGTCCCACAGGACAAAGGACAGCTTTTCTTTCACGGACCACAGTTTTAACTGTAATATTTTAAAACATTCAGATATTAGCAGGTACTTATTAGTGACCTGGTTTATAAAACAGCTGATCTTGACAACAATTTAGACTTGGGTTGTGTCAGTTTTACTAGAACTAGGCTGCGAAAGATTTACGCTTAGAGTTTGTCCGTTTGTTCCCCCTCAAACAGGTCACCAAACCTCCCAGATGCAGAGGAAGATTTCAGATTTTTGAAATCAAACCTTTCCAATTTATGGAGGTTATAGGTTCTTCAGATGAACTACTGAACTACCCTGCATCAACTGGTACACATAATGATGCCCATAAGGCAAACAGTAATAAAGGCAAATTTTACCAGTGTGTGCCAACAGTTCAGGTTAAATAAAATATGAAAAGAGAAGTGTATTACAGATACACGTATGCAAATATAAATCACCTTCTACCTGTAGGTGGCCAGTCTAACTAAAAAAAAAATAATTTTATTTATTTGGGGGGGTGCTGTACTGGGTCTTCGGTGCAGGGCAGGCTTCTCTCTAGCTGCAGCGAGCAGGGGCCACCTTCTAGAGCACGTGGGCTTCAGTAGCTGCGGCACACAGGGCAATAGTTGTGGATCAGGGGCTTAGCTGCTCTGCCGCATATGGGATCTTCCCAGATCAGAGGTGGAACCCATGTCTCCTTCACTGGCAGGCGAATTCTTTGTCACTGAGCTATCAGGGAAGGCGCAGCCTAAGTTTCTGATAGCAGGCAAGAGCTTCAGAGACCTTGGGCTGCCACTCTGGCTTGTTACATTTTCGCTCTGAAAGTAATCTAATCTCTGAGTCCTGGCTTCCACATTCGAAACAAACGAATTGTATCACTTATTTGACCAAGTTTGCAGGGAGACTGAATAAGCTGTAAACCATGGGGCATAGTGCCTAACACACAGAGGCTTGAGGCAAAGCTGGCGCGGATTGCGGTGAAGGTCGAGGGAACATCAAGTTCCTCGCAAAGACTTGTGACACCGAAAGGGAAGATGTCCCGGGACTCTTATCGGGCAGGGCCCCGAAGGGGTTGCAGCTCAGGGAAGGACACCACCATACCTAGCAGATGCTGAAAATCAAGGAAGGCCTTTGCGAGACCCCATCAGATCGCCAAGAGGTGGGGTAGCAGTCCTCAGCGTTACAGACAGAAAGTATTCTTATCACCAAATATAAAACTTAAAATTACTGCCTGCTGGGGACAAATCTCACAAATGGAGGTAAAATAGAACAGAAACAATCTCTACTCCAACTGCTCAGATTACAACACTAATGGTGGTTTTTAGGACAGATAAACTAGAGCTGTGAAATTACCCAATGTGGGATCGGGGGGAGACCAGGGGGAGAAGCCCTCTGTGGGGGCAACAAGGTCAGGGTGAGGAGAAAGAAACCCTGGGCCTTCCTGGCCCAGGGGTGTCTCTCCAGCAGTGCAGGAACAACCTGTCCAGTGAGCAGCTGCAAAAAGGACCACAAAGTCCATGCAGAGAACACCGAGTATTTCCAACTTACCACACACTTGCTGAATTAAAGGGACAGCCTGGGTGGGTACCATCTCCCAGGATGACAAAAGGGACAGGCCCAAGGAGCATAAGTGAAGGGGTACCACACTCCCAGTGCAGAGGATGACCACCTGGCCCTCCATTCCCTTATATTCCAGTAATATATTCCAGTAACATTCCAGTAATATTTCTGGTTTCACTGCTATTGCTTTTCTGTTTTTATAAACAAACTGTGAAAATCAACAAACTACCTCCAAATCAAACAACTGTGGTCTATACCAATCCTATATAACAACAACAACCAATAATGTGGAACAAATCAGAGAAAAATTCTGGTCAAGCTGGAAGCTCACCCATGGCTGGTGGCTGGCATTCTTGTCTTCAGGAGGAGGGAGTCCATTTTCTTGTTTGCTGCCCAGCCTCGTCACTGCCTGCAGTGCAGGGAAGCCCAGGGCCTACCGCCATCTGCAGGCAAAACAGAAAAAAAAACACAAGTTACGGCTCAAATCACCCACCTGAAGCCCTCCTGCCTGGGCTGAAACACCTGGGTCCTGTCCAGGTGCAAGAAACAGAACTCACTCAGTTCTGCATCTGGGATCCCACCACAGAGCTGAGACATGGTAAAAATTCTAAACAATCAAGGGCTCAAGTACATCTTAACAATATCAGCAAACCCTTATATGGGGCTCACCATGTGCCAGACATTGCTCTGAATGCCTTATATTTATTAGCTCATTTAATCCTCATAAAAATTGAGGTCTCTGCCAATTTGCCTGATTATTGAGTTAAGCTGAATAACTAAAATGAAAAACTTGGTAATACCTGATTTCAAAGAAGGGTCAGATAAAACTCTGGGACAGATTCGGAACATCCCCCAGATCATCCATCCCCTGAATATTTATCAAATGCCTGTTATGGAGCAGACACTGCTCTAGGACCTGGGAATAACGGCATGAACGCAAAGGACAAAGTCCCTGCTCTCACATAGCTTCCATTCTGGTGGAGGGAAGCCACAATAGAGGAGGTGATAAATGTTGTACAGAAGAAAAAAGCAGGGTAAAGGGGATAGAGGGTGATGACCATGCTGCTAATATTCATTCATTTATTCATTCATTTCCAAGTGCTTACTGACCATTCGCCACAAGCAGACTCTGTACTGAGATGCACTGATGGGATGAAAATAGACATGGCCCCTGACTGTAAGGGTTACTTACTCATACTGGAGACGCATATGACCACCTAAGTAAAAGCAAAGATGTTAACCTGTAGTAGGTATGATAGCAGAACGACGCGGGTCCCAGTGAGAGCATCTTAGGGAGCTCAGGAACCTGGGATGGAGTGGGAGAAGGAGAAGCACCCTTGGTAAAAAGCAGACCATGTGCAAAGGCTGGATCACAGACAGCAGGGCAGAGGCAGAGTGGGGAGATGGGGAATGGAAGGAGGGGAGGAGGGGTGTGGCCCTTGCTCGGCACTTCCAGCCACAGGAGGTCCCTATCCCTTGAGGAGAGCACCGCGCCAGGGCCTCAGGCAGAGAAGTAACATGGTTGGATGAGTGCGTTTTTAAACGATTACATTATGTGGTAGACTGAATAATGGTCTAATGGTCTCGCCAAAGAAGTCAATATCTAAGTCCCCGGAAGCTATGACTATATTGCCTTACAAAGGCAAAAAGAGCACTGGAGATATGATTAAGGATCTCAAGATGGGGAGACTGTCCAGGTGGACCCAATGGAATCACAAGTGTCCCTGTAAGAGGGAGGCAAAGTGAGATTCAGAAGATGAGCGTCAGAGTGTTGCAGCATGAGAAACACTTGTTAGTTTAGAGGTGGAGGAAGGGTCTATGAGCCAAGGAATGCAGGAAGCCTCCAGAAGCTGGAAAAGTCAACAGAATGATTCTCCTCCAGGAGCTCCAGAAGGAAAAGAACACTTCTGAAAACTCTGCAATGGTAACATAATACATTTGGATTGTTAAAAGCTACTAATTTTGTGTTCATTTGTTATAGCAACAATACACTACTACACATTGGCTTCTGTAAAACACAGATTATAAGTAAGGGAAAGTGGAGGCAGGGACCAGCTGAAGGTCACTGTGTCCCCCAGACAAGAGATGGGAGAGCCTGAACAACAGCAGTGGCAGAGAGGTGAAGAGGAGCAGGAGGACCCCAGGAGGGGAGGTATTGGCCAGTTAAGTTCCAGACATCACTGGAATGCTGAAGCAGGCTTTCTTTAGGCTCAGGACCTGCCCGGCTCACCCTAGGCAGAGAACACCACCCTCTGCAGAAGGAGGAAGTTTGCACAGGGTTGTAGGACCACCTCCAGACACAGACACCATTTGTTCAACTGACAGGGACCTGCCAATCCCTTTCCCACAAAGAAGTCCAGGGACTTCCAGGAATATGCTCTAAGAAGTAACAACCTAGGAATTTCTACCAGGAAAAAAGTAGCAAGTGTTCTGGCCAAGCATGAGGCCTTGCTGTGAACCTTTTTTTCTTCCTAAGAGAGATTTTGTAATCCTGGAAAGGAGGCATCCAAAATTTAAATATACATATCTTAAACCCATGTGAAACAGAAACATGGTTTTACCCAACATGTAGAAATTTCATGGTCAGTAGAATAATGCAGAAATTACAGAAAGAGAATAAAGGAGAAACTAGGACACCCTCTCTCACCATCTCCTCCATTCCTATCTAATGATTCAGACCTGCTAAGAAAGTGGGATTCTAATCTGGCCCAACCTAACAGGGCTACTGAGAAGAAGAGGCAATAAAAATTATTTCAGGGAATTTTAGATATATCCTGTTTTACTCCAAAAGTATAAATATAGACACATTAAGAATACCTTGGAGGACACTGAGTGGTAACCAGAAGTCTCGTCAACCTCCTGTGGCTCTGCAGACCACAGAGACTGGGCTGGATTCTGGGAGCATACGTACAAGGACGCAGGAGTGTCTGCAGACGCCAAAATACCAGGCAGTCCTGAATGTTCAAATGGGTTCATTTTAAAACAGTTATTTGTATAAACTGTTTTTCTGTTGACAAAAGTGACATGTTTATTAGTGAAAAAACAAAAATTTCCTGTAGTCCCAACGGTTCAGAGGTAACTTATTTGTAAATATTTCTTCTAATAATTTTTGAGATTCTCACACACAGACATACATACAAACATACACTTTCTAACAATATTAGGATACTGTGCATATTTTTCTTTTGCAACCAGCTTTGTTTTATCTAATAGTATACAATTTTTCGATGTCATTAAATACACTTTTAATAGTTGGCACCATTCTATCACTATTTTCCCGTGGTATCAAAATCTCTTAATTAATCCCTAACTGCTGGACAACTGACTGGTTTCTAATTTCATGATAACAGAAGTCAGACTGGAAGGAACAGCCCCATCTATAAGAAAACCTCCTCACTTAAAATCTGTGTGTGAAGCTCAGATTATTTTTCAGGGTTGTGTTTCACACCTTTCAGCCATCCATATATCACTATTATTATTTTCCCATAATTAAATGTCATATATACTGTACTTAACATTTCTCTTTAAATCAACTCATTTCTACCCTTAAATAAATGTTTTAAAAGCAAACCTTATATAGTACTGTAAATGGAAAGCCAGCATTAAATGCCATAAATGAAGGCAGTCATAAGACTAAGTACAATGGAAAACACAATGGTGTCATGAAAATATAGTTATATTGCTATCTCTTTGCTCATCCTTTCATATCAAGTGGGAAATTAGGAAGGCTTAACATGGTGTTAAAGACATACTCGTACCAAGCTGAGATTTTTCTCCTTCCCGTGATCAGAAGACTGGAAAGGAATCAACCAGAGGAATAACTTTCTCACCATGGGAGTCAGTGTTACGTAATGCTGCAAATATACCCCTCCTAGAATTATACCCTGTACTACCTGAAAAAAGCCCAAAGGCAAACGTGTTTTAGGATACATGCTGAAAGTAGAATTACTGGGATAAAAACATATGGACACTTTAAGAAGGTTTTGATAAACTCCATCCAAGTCAGTTTTACCATAGTTTTACTATTAGAGTGCCTGATTTACTTCACCCTCAAATACTGTCATAAACAAAAATGTTCAGCTTTGTAGTATAAGATATTCAGCAGCTGAATTTTTCAAAGCTATTTTCATATTCCTCTGGCCAGTTTCTGACGCAGGGGGGAAGGCAATTATATAAACTTTCAGCTAGTGATATTGCAAAACTGATATTGCACTTGGTTTAACCAAACTAAAGTAAACTCAGTAAAATATGAGGAAGTGACTTTAGCATTTGCAAATATTTTAGAATGCTTTTGTTCTGGCAAAGGTCAAATGAGGATCAGAATAGCATGGATTCCACATAATACTCTTGAGAAATAAAGAGACCCAGAGAGGCACTACTCTTGAGACACAAATCACTAAAAATTTTCAGTATGTCAATCAAAACTCTAAAATAAATATATGTTCAAGCCTTCCTATCTTGGTGTGATAGGTAATTGCAAATATGTTACAAATTAATGCAATTCTTAAGAGAAGACTTCTAAAATAGAAAAATAAAAATGTATTTTGAAGCATGAAGAATTAATAACAATAAGAAGCTTCCAGATTATTTCAATAATTCTCAGGCAGACACACACATGTGCATGTGCCTGTGGGAGAAGAAGAGAATTAAAAACATGCTAAAATGTTTCTTATGTTTGGGATGAAATTGGAGATTTTAATTAATTTTTAGCATTTGTAGGAAAATGTTTACCTATGCTTAGGGCTCCTAATAGGATACAGAATTCCAAGTCACTGAATGAAATTAAGGAAGGAAAGAATGGAGCCAAAGACACCTTGATGATTTCAGATGTCATAAGAAAAAAGAAACAATATATAAATAACACAACTCAGTAACAAATACAATCAAATTTTCCAAACAGATATGAACAGACATTACTCCAAAGAAGATATACAAATGGTTAATAAGCACATTAAAAGATGCTCAATATCATTAGTCATCCAGGAAGTGCAAATTAAAACCACAATGAGTTAGAGATTTACATCTGCTAGGATGGCTATAATAAAAAATATACACAAGTGTTGGTGAGGATGTAGACAAATTGAAACACTCATGCGCTGCTGGTAAGAATGTAAAATGTTGCAGCTACTTGGGAAAAGTATGGCAGCATGGCAGCCCACTCCAGTATTCTTGCCTGGAGAATCCCATGGGCAGAAGAGCCTAGCAGGCTACAGTCCATATGGTCACAGACAGCCAGACATGACTGAAGTGACTTTGCATGCACGAACCGGAAGTTTAAACACAGACACACCATATGATCCAGCAATTCCACTTTTATTAATAGGTATATACCCAAGAGAAATTAAACTATATGCTTACACAAAAATTTGTATGTGGGTGTTCACGGAAACATTATCATAATAGCCAGAAAGCAAAAACAATCTAAATGTCCATCAACTGATAAATGGATAAACAAAATGCAGTATAGCCACAGGATGGAATATACTGGGCAATAAAAAGGAACAAATTACTGATACATGCTATAATGTGGATAAACCTCCAAAAGATTACTCTAAGTGTACAAAGCCAGTCACAACAAACCACATATTATACAATCTCATTTATACAAAATGCCTGAAAAAGGCAAGTATATAGAGGCCGAAAGTAGATTAGTGCTTGCCTAGGGCTGGAGAGGGGAATATTAAGGGCTGCTGGAGAGTGATTGCTAACGAAGTAATACAAATGTTCTAAAATTAGATTATGGAGATAGTTACACCTCCTGCAAATATATTATAAACCACTGAACTGTATCCTTTTAATGGGTGGATTTTATGGTATGTAAATTATATCTTAATAAAGGTGCTAATAATAATAATAAATGAAGACCATAAATAAAGTTAACAGATGGGTGACCAGACTAGGGGATGATTTATAACACTGCCATTCCATGAAGGATTATTTATAACACTGCCATTCCATGAAGGATTAACATTTTAGTGAGCACACCAATATATAAGGATCAAAATGAAAACCAGACAGAAAAATATCAGAAACCTAAAGGAAGAGCAAACGAGACAAATAGGCAATTCACAAGTGGCAGAACAATATGTGGTGCTCAACTAAAACAGAAATGGAGTTCTGCTTTAACTTACTAGTTTGACAAAAAATTAGTAAATTAAATAATAGTAAGTGCTGGCAGATGATGGGAAAGGGACCCTTCACGCACTCCTGATAGGAGAAAATTGATGAAGCCATTCTGCAGCACAAAGCAGCAGTTTTTAGTAAATGACATCATACAAGTATTCCAAAATTAGCAATCTATCTACCCATCTATCTATCTCAGAAAAGTTCTTGCTGAGAACACATGGCTTTCTGGTGCAGCACTGTTTGTGGAAGCAAGGAGATGAAGATCACCTAATGTCTATTCCCAGGAAACTAGTTAAAAACTTGTGGTGTACACTCTTGATAGAAAAGTACAAAACAGCCAGGAATAATGAACTAGACTCACACATATCAAGATGGTTTGACTTAAAAACATGATGCTGAGGGAAAAAAAGAAACAGTATGAGGGAATTATAGCAGTCCAGTGGTTAGGACTCCTGGTTCTCACTGCCAAGGGTCCGGGTTTGATTCTTGGGAAGTAAAATCCCACAAGCCACACAATGTGGCCAAAAAAAAAAAAAGAGAGAAGCAAACAGTATGAGATTTATAGCACGATGGCTTTTATTCAGATAAAAGCAAAGCATGACATACCTTCCAAAGACACACATTTTCTGAGAAGATATAAGGAAAGATATAAGAACAAATATGTCACCATGCCTGCTCAAGTATGCAAGCATGGGAGGGAGGGTGTTGAGAAATGGAAGATAAAAGGAGGAAATAAAATAAAACAAAATGACTCTAAACAGACCAAGGATTAGAGTGTGCCATTAACTGAAGAGTATGAGCAATTTAGTTCTGAAGTCCTGACATCCTACGGAAAATAAAATCCCACGCATTATTTTCTTCTGAAAAACATAATAAAGTTCATCACATGCTAAACTAATGAATAATAAAGCCAGGAGAAAAGAAGGCACTGGGGAAGACAGAGGCTTGCCTGATCTTTAGTGGAGTCATTCAGTTTTCACCATCATGGAAGCAAGAACCTGGCAGGGTGAAAATGCTGTGGATGGTGTCCACTACAACCCTCTCCCTCTCCATCCACAGACAGAAGAGGAAAGGGAGAGAACCATGCATTACAGCTTAAATTTAGTTAACAGGAGAGAGAGAGAAGAGAGAGACATTATGGAATTCCGAAGAAAAGGAACAGCTTGTTGAAAGTACACTGCAAAAATCAAAGAATCTGATTCTCTGGCTCATGATAAAGGTGGTATTTTCTAAAAACAGTGAATTCTCACCACCATCCTGAAGCATAGTACAAAAGAGGAACTCCATGTTTTAAAAATTAGGAAGGACCTATATCTTTGGTTATGGCTGTTTTCAAAGTTAAGGTTATTCAAGTTTTCTTTCAGTAATAGGTGTTATGATCAGGTACATGTGATTAGACTAAAGTTGAGTAAAATGGGGGTGGTGTTCTTGGTATTGCCTACAGAAACCATCTTCACTCAAATGTTAAATCAAGTGCCTGCAGATTTAATCACTTTACTCCTAACATTTAGTGTCTTCCCTCATCTACGCAACTGGTTTTGCATATATATTTTCTCTTGCCAGGGAATGGGGGGCACCCAAAAGCAGAGACTGTCCCAACAGCCTTGAGGAGGAGCCCAATTCTGAGCGGGCATACAAGACCTGGGCGTTCATCTTTCACCCTTCTGCTGGCGGACTCTGCACAGAAAGCGTCCTGTCTGGGATCTACTGAGTTTCAGTGCACCCACCCCTGACCGTTTCTGCCAGCGATGGATAGGGGCTCCTGTAGAGTCAGCCCGTTTTCACCTGGACAGAGCCTTGGGAAGCGGGTGGCATCCTGGCCTAGCTCCTCTCCATATCTACGACCAAGAGACTAGTCGCAAGCTTGGAGGGCATCCCAAGTGCGTGCAAGTGCACCAGATCTGAAAAACTTAGCCAAACAAGCGAGGTTTGGGGATGCGTGCGGAAACAGAGGAGTTTGATAGGTAAGACGGGGTAAATTATGAATTCCTCCCTGCTGGGCTCAGGTGAGACACTTTTCTCAGCATTTTATATACATCCTCCCACTTTGATTTTTATCGAAACTCGGTGGGGGTGGGGGTGGGGGTGGGGGTGGGGGTGGGGCGGGACGGGGGATGGTCGGGGCGGCATTCTACATTAAAGAAAATGTGTGCTGGGAGGGGTGGCCTGGCTTGCACCCGCCCCACCTCGACCTCAAGCTGCCAGATCCTTGGCACGTTAGTCCGAGACTCGCCCAGGTCTTCCAGCCCGGCCTGGAGGACCAGAGCCCGGAAAGCCCCAGTAGTGCCGCATCTCAAGCCCTCCCAACCCCGCGGCAGGAACCCCCAGCCGGGCCTGCGAGCGTCCAACGGCCGCCTGGCGTCCCGCCCGCGCGGTCCGCAAGGAGGAGCCCGCGAGGCGACCGCGAAAGGGGCTGCGCTTACCTTGCCGGGTGCGGGCTGAGGCTCCGGCTCGCCCGCTCCAGGCTGGGCGCCCCGCACGGTGCGCCCCTCGCCCCGACCGCTGCCGCGCAGGCTCTGGACACTGCCACTTTCATTTTCCTCAACGCTCTCGGCAAGAAAGCGAAAGCGAAAACGGCCGAGAGGCGGGCCCGAGTGCGCGGAGAACGCGGAGCGCGGGCCGGCAGCCAGAGGCTGGGGCTCCAGGCCTCGGGTCTGTGCTCGGCGGTCCCGGCGGCGTCCCGGCGGCGTCCCGGCTGGAGCCGCGTCCACCTGCGACGCTAAGCCAGCCCTTGGCGCACGTCGCGGCGGCGCAGCGTTCCCTCGCCCGCTACGCGGCCCGCGGCGCCTCGGTCCCTTGGCGCCGTTTCCCTCATCTGCCTTTCGTTGTTCAGCGCCCGCCGGGGCCTCGCGGCTGCAGGCCGACCCGAAACCTGACTGCCCGCGGCGCTTCGTGGGTTTCTGGCCTGAGCAGGCGGGTGCCGGCCTGGGTGGCCGGGAGCACGTCACTGAGGGGTCCCTGTCGGAGGCGCTGAGGGAACTGGGGCGGGTTTCGCTCGCAGACCCCAGGGGTCCCGCGCTCCCCAGCCCAGACATGCGCACTGGCCCCTCGGCCGAGCTGGGGGCACCAGCAAGGCTACAGCCGGGTCCTGACCGTGAGGTACCAGGCTCTTCATCCTGGGTCAGCGGAGAACTGAAAGTCAGTGATGCCTGTGAGATGAGGGACGCTTCGTTTGATAAGGAAAACTGAAACTGCAAGTTTAAGGTTTGGACCCCCTGGCCTAAGTGGTCCCCATCAATACCCGAGGGTTTAGAGATTCCAGGTTCGATCAAGCACAGATTCTGGCACTTTTTGGCTGTGTGATTTAGAGCAAAATATTTACTCCTTTTAGCCTTAGTTTATTCTCCTGTAGGATGGGGATAAAAACCATACCTACCTCAGGGTTGTGGGAATTAAATTAAATGATATAAGGGAGAAAATACTTGGTATTTTCTATTAGGCTCTAGGTGGGTTCTGTGAGGGCAGTGATCAAGTTGTTTTTCTGGATGCTTAATAGACATTCTCTAATGGTGAGCTGAAAAGCGATAGTTTTCAAAGTTTGAATCATGTTACCTTGACTTAGAAGAACTGAGGGGGAGGGGGAACACTGCAGTCTTTTTGGAGGGCACCTCACACTGAGCCTGACAGTTAGCCCCTGTAATTATGCCACTGCTCCAAAATTTGACAGAAGTCTCTACAGCTTTGTCCAGCATCAGCCACTGACATCTGAAAAATACTTCTGTAGGCATTCCATAGAAACCAAAAAACACTGTCAAGACTCCATATTCTAAACACAATTTACCATGGGTTTGTTTGGTGTTTTTTTTATCACAGAGTGGTCTGATAACTGGAACAGAAAAACAAAACAAACCGCTTAATCTGCCAGAGTCACTTTGGTTTGCCTGTGTGTAATTTAGGCACGTTCCCTACACGATGGAGGTCTTCATCTGTGACTGATGTTGTGGCTTTTTATGTGTGCTGGCAGTGTTTCCCTCAAGAGCAGGTGGGGAACGGGGACAGGCCAAATGATGACCTTAGAAAAACACATGTCCGCCTCCGGAAGATGATGCTTTTGGTATGTAGTATGCAGCAAAAAAAAAAAAAAAAAAAAACCAAAACAGCATCAGAACCTCTCCCTTGTCAAAGGGCGATGATTCTTGACTCTGTAACAGCAAAGTAGACCTAAATCTGCTTCTGCATAAGAAATATATCTGGGAGATAGGGGGCAGGGAAAAGACAAGAAAAGACTAGGAGATAAAGTCAAATCCTGGTTACCTTTTATAGATGTTACCCATGGGAACAGGGAGGTGCCAGGAGGTGAGGGCTAGCCTGGAGTCTTGGTGATTTCCCAAGGTCTAGATTTGGTCCTTGACCTTGTGGGATCAAAACTTTCATCTTTTCAGTGTTCCAGCTTCGGTTAAAAATCAGCGAAGCATAAAATCAGAATGCAAACTTACTGATTTCATTAACTATTTGCTAGACACTTATGTTCAGTTCAGTTCAGTCCCTCAGTCATGTCTGACTCTGCAACCCCATGAACTGCAGCACGCCAGGCCCCCCTGTCCATCACCAACTCCCAGAGCCACCCAAACCCATGTCCACTGAGTTGGTGATGCCATCCAACCATCTCATCCTCTGTCATCACCTTCTCCTCCTGCCCTCAATCTTTCCCAGCATCAGGGTCTTTTCAAATGAGTCAGCTGTCCGCATCAGGTGGCCAAAGTATTGGAGTTGCAGCTTCAACATCGGTCCTTCCAATGAACACCCAGGACTGATCTCCTTCAGGATGGACTGGTTGGATCTCCTTGCAGTCCAAGGGACTCTCAAGAGTCTGCAAACACCACAGTTCAAAAGCATCAATTCTTCTGCACTCAGCTTTCTTTATAGTCCAACTCTCACATCCATACATGACAACTGGAAAAACCATAGCCTTGACGAGACAGACCTTTGTTGGCAAAGTATTGTCTCTGCTTTTTAATATGCTGTTTAGGTTGGTCATAACTTTCCTTCCAAGGAGCAAGCGTCTTTTAATTTCATGGCTGCAATCACCATCTGCAGTGATTTTGGAGCTCAGAAAAATAAAGTCAGCCACTGTTTCACTAGTTCCCCTATCTATTTGCCATGAAGTGACGGGACCGGATGCCATGATCTTAGTTTTCTGAATGTTGAGCTTTAAGCCAACTTTTTCACTCTCCTCTTTCAGTTTCATCAAGAGGCTCTTTGTTTCTTCTTCACTTTCTGTCATAAGGGTGGTGTCATCTGCATATCTGAGGTTATTGATATTTCTCCTGGCAATCTTGATTCCAGCTTGTGCTTCCTCCAGCCCAGCGTTTCTCATGATGTACTCTGCATATAAGTTAAATAAGCAGGGTGACAACATATAGCCTTGATGTACTCCTTTTCCTATTTGGAACCAGTCTGCTGTTCCATGTCCAGTTCTAACTGTTGTTTCGTGACCTGCATACAGGTTTCTCAAGAGGCAGGTCAGATGGTCTGGTATTCCCATCTTTTTCAGAATTTTCCACAGTTTATTGTGATCCACACAGTCAAAGGCTTTGGCATAGTCAATAAAGCAGAAATAGATGTTTTTCTGGAACTCTCTTGCTTTTTCGATGATCCAACAGATGTTGGCAATTTGATCTCTAGTTCCTCTGCCTTTTCTAAAACCAGCTTGAACATCTGGAAGTTCATGGTTCACATATTGCTGAAGCCTGGCTTGGAGAATTTTGAGCATTACTTTACTAGTGTGTGAGATGAGTGCAATTGTGCAGTAGTTTGAGCATTTTTTGGCATTGCCTTTCTTTGGGATTGGAATGAAAACTGACCTTTCCCAGTCCTGTGGCCACTGCTGAGTTTTCCAAATTTGCTGGCATATTGAGTGCAGCACTTTCACAGCATCATCTTTTAGAATTTGAAATAGTTCAACTGGAATTCCATCACCTCCACTAGCTTTGCTCGCAGTGATGCTTCCTAAGGCCCACCTGACTTCACATTCCAGGATGTCTGGCTCTAGGTGAGTGGGAGTGATCACACCTTTGTGATTATCTAGGTCATGAAGATCTTTTTTGTACAGTCCTTCTGTGTATTCTTGCCACCTCTTCTTAATATCTTCTGCTTCTGTTAGGTTCATACCATTTCTATCCTTTATTGAGCCCATCTTTGCATGAAATGTTCCCTTGGTATCTCTAATTTTCTTGAAGAGATCTCTAGTCTTTCCCATTCTATTGTTTTCCTCTATTTCTTTGCACTGATCACTGAGGAAGGCTTTCTTATCTCTCCTTGTTATTCTTTGGAACTCTGCATGTACATTAATGTTAAGTACATTATGTATATTGCCTCATTTAATTCTCTCTACAGTCATGTGATACCTTGTGATCTTTTTTCATTTGGGGAAAAAAGATGAAGGAAATCCCCAAGATCCCACAGTTAGGGTGTATATAAGTGGTAGAGTCAGGGTTCAAATAAAGGTCATCTGATTCCAAAATTTGGAGCCTAACTGTTCCTGTGAGAAGCAAAACTGTCCAGAGAACTGGACTCTAGAGTTTGCCTAATGAATGCATTATCTTCTCATAAGTGTGCAATTTGGAGCCTAATCATTAGCAAGTGGGTTCGCGAGCTTGACAGAGAATCGGAAAAGTGAATTATCTGCCTTAAATGTTTAATGATAACAGCCTTGGGTAGCCTGCTATGTCTTCTTCCACACCAAAGGTCATTTGACCTGCTGGGAGAACTGGGCACTCATTCCTGCTGGCCTGGCTGGCCCTTCTCCTTGGAATGGTACTAGATCGGCCCTCAAATTTTTTTTATGCTTCATGGGCTGCTCCTTCTCAGATGCTCACATTCTTTTTTTAGATAAAATAAGGCCTTACTGAATAACAGTATTGTTAGGCCTTTTAGGTCCTGGAGTCCTCCTTTCTTTTTATGGAAGCCTGTCTTTGCTCTGACTGACTTGACTTATAATCTAATTGTGTGTTCCAACTCTTTGGGGGTAACTCACTTTATTTTCTTATCCTTCCTTACCTTCTAAATCTAGAATAAAATATTGTGCAATAGCAAGTTCTGCAATAAGCACTTTATCCAAGCCTGCAGTGCTCATCAATGAAGACCCAAAAATCTAAGTCCATGGTCAGAGTCCAGAAATTTTATCATAGTCAGAGAGTAGGAATGGAGGTGGGGATGGAGATAATGCAATGTAGCTAGAGAACAATATAAATGGAAATACATGGTTAGAAAAGAAAACACCTGGTGTGTGATTCAAATAAAAAGTAAAAAAAAATTAAAAATCTTTTAGATACTTCAGTCATTCAAAAAGTGTTTTGTGGCAGCTACAAAATGCAGCCACTTTGCTAATCCTGGGGATTCAATAATGAGTGAAAATAGACAGTCTCTGCCCTCAGGAAACACCATTTAGTGATGTAGTCAGACAATCAAATAGTCAGTCAATTATAGAATACTGTCCTAAATGTTACAAAGGGAATTTGATTCTATGAGTAGGATTTGAACTTCCCTGGGGGGAGGGAGAGAGTCAGAGAAGTTTGCTTAGATGAAGGTTTGTTTGAACTGGGAGGAAGAATGAGGATTAGTTAACTGGGTAAAGGAGATGGGGTTGGAGAAGAGATAATCAGTGAAAGAAAGCATGTGCAAAGGTCCCAAGGCAGGAGAGAACCAACCTGGAGCATTTGAAGAACTGAAAGTGGGTAGAATCTGAACCATTATCTACGTGATACCCCAAAGGGTCAATTGAGCAGCTAGGAGAACCCAAGTCCCAGGAGGCTGGAGAGCAAGGCAGAAGCCATATCAGGTAGAGCCTTGAAGGTCATGCTAAGGACTTAGGTCTTTATCCCATGAGCACTGATGTTGTTTAAGCAAGGAGTTATATCATCAGGCTTGTGTTTTGGAAAGATTGTCTGCTGTGTGGTGAGTGGATTGAAAGATGGTCATCAGTTGGGAGCAAGATGATGGTGGTAGTGGTAGAGGAGATGGAGAGAAATGGACAGATGTGAGAGCTGTTTAGGAGATAAAATGGTCCAGGAACACACCAATGGATTGGATCACA